CCCCCAAAACCCCAAAACCCCAAAACCCCTTTATATCTGGGAAGAATTGATAGTTAATAAAGAATGTGGAAATATGGAATCTTCCATTTTGCTATCCTCTTCTCAGCCTTTTGGCTGTTTGGATGGCTTTATGGTGTAATTGTTTTGATTGTTTTTGTAAACGTTGCTGATTACCTTCTGAGCCTTTTTGGCTACACAAGGCTAAACTACGGAGATTTAATGATCTTCTTGGAGAAACCAGGCACTAAGAATAACCTTGCTGGATATTTCACAATTGAAAAGCCCGTAATCTCCCTTTCCTAATCCTAATATCTCAATTTTTCTTTTTAAAATCCCTCTTAAAAGCATTAAATTTTTCTTAAATTCCTAAAGATAGATTTCGAGACATTCAAAGAGAAAATGTACGAAGACGCAGTCAAGAAACTTATGAAGATGCGATCAAGAGTTGTTAATAAGTTTGGAATTTATATGTGGCAGGATCTTGGAGATGAGGTAGGCAGAAAGCAACTCAAGAAATGACAAGCCAAGCTGTCAACGGAAGATGACCTCAGGAATTATATACAGAAGAAAAGCAACCGTAAAATGGACTATTCAAAGCCTTTATGGGAGTTTGAGTTTCTAGAAGACTTTAATGATAAAGAATCAGCTCTTTTGGTCCAATTCCACCATGCTTTTGCTGATGGAGGTGCCTTCTTGTCCCTTTGGTCGTGCCTAAATGATGAAGATAAGAGATGCAAAATTGACAAGAAGTTTCCAAAATTCAATATCCTTGTGCATATTTTCTTCTTATTTTTCGGACCGCTCTATTGCTTGTATATTGTGATCATCTACACCTCGTACAAGACGGATGGAGAGGCTGCAAAGATAAGAGAGCTGACAGGAGAAGATACTCGTGGTACAAAATTTTTCGCCTCCAACGAAAGATTATCTTTCCCTGAGTTGAAGGTCTGCTACAAGAGAAAATGTACAGGAAACACGAAAATCACGTTCAATGATTATGTACTTGGAGTTGTTTCGAAATCATTAGATAAGTGGTATAAAGAGCATGGGATCACAGGCGCAAAATCTATCAGTACATTTGTATCGGTAAACACCAGACCTCTACCAAAATCAATGGAGGAAGCCACCCTATTCAACGAAAGTGTCGGTAAGCAGCAATTAGTGATTAAATATAGGAATGAAATTCATGCTACCAATGAGAGAAGATTTTGATACAGCTATTAAGGACGCAAAAACCTCATTCCGCAAGAACCTTGGCATGACTGCTATTCTCTCCTTAAATAAATTTGCTTTGACATTCCCTTACCTACCGGAGTTTGCAACAAGATTACTGGGAGGATTAGTATTTGATGATGTAGATTTGGTGTTCTCCAACGTGCCATTCTCTACAGATCCCTGGTATGTGTGTAGCAAGAAGGTAAACAGAATTGCTGCCTTCTCCAACGTGTATTACAACTGGAAGGTGTTCTTCGTTGTCACTACTTACAGAGATGAACTCATGATCACTGCAATGGCCAATGACAAGCTTAAAATGAACACTCAGAAGCTAATACAAGCAGCAATTGATATTCTTAAAACTGAGATTCAGGAATATGGTACTAAAGGAACTAAGGTGCATCTAAAGCAAGATTAATAAATGACGTATTCAAACGACCACCACCACAACGGGGTTTTGGGGTTTTGGGGTTTTGGGGTTTTGGGG